AATCAAGAGACAGAGAATTAAATATACTTGTGTATTGGGCATGCATAAAAACCATGTTAAAATTGGGCTGAAGACTATTTACCGGAGCGTTGTTTGCATTTGTTGCGTCTCGGTACACAGTGGAGGTCATGCAACTTAAATTTTAGTCGACATAAAAATTGCCAACTCAGTAGTGGTTCCATTACCAATCATCCTTTGTATCTATAGAGACGCCTTAAGGCACCTGACCGGTTCGATCAATTATTGGCGAAGATAGGGCTGGAGTTGACCTCCAACACTCAGTCTTGACTCAGTTAACTGAACCAGCTGAGCCTTCTGGACTGATAGATTGGCTATTAAACTAGGTTGGATCTCCAATCAGATTGTGTTTGCATTTGAACTGGTAAAAACCAGTCTTATCTGGTGTAATTTAGGTTGTTAAACTAACTGGATGAGTTGTATATTTCCCATCAGATATTGCAATAAGTGAGGAAAGGAACAAATATTGCATTATGCTGCAGGAGATCTGAGGCAATATATTATTTGATGTCGATGTTCGTTTTGATTGTGCATGCAGAGTAACAAATTTAGGGAATGGACGTGTTATGACTTGGAAGTTGTCTGCCTTGTGTTTTGTTAATTTATATTCATAAAGCTATGTGTGAGTGAATGGTTCTGCTTAATGAGCAGTACCAATTTTCATTTTTCTTCCTATGCTTTTGAGCTGGACTCAAGTACAGTTTATACATTTAAGGTGCTTTCTGCTTCCAATAACCCACCTATCTAGTATGGTGTTAGTATGATTATAGCCAGTGTTTCATATGTGTGCATGTTTGCATGCATAATGGTTTAGAGGTCATTGTTTCATGTTCACTTTCAGTCTATACTATAGCTGATGGAAAATGTTCAGGCATAGGGATGAATATAGAGACAGGGACTACAGGAGAAGAAGTCGCAGCAGAAGTAGGGAAAGATATGATCGTGACAAGTACCGTGAAAGGGATAGCCGTGAAAGGGATAGGGATTATCGTCGCCGGAGTAGGAGCCGTAGTGCAAGTCCTGATCGGCATAAAGATCGCAGGAGAGGAAGAGATGATGATGAGAGAAGAACTCGAAGCAGATCAGTTGATAGGTTTGAATCTTGTGCTTTTTATTGCCCTCTACATTTTCTCATCATCATATTTTTTCCTGATATACATATGCATTTGCCTCAGTGCATCACCTGCTCGGCATGGCTCCAGTCCTCGTAGAAGTCCATCTCCGCACAGGAGGTCTTCTCGAGATGAGCGACATGATGAACAGAATAGTCATGAGCAATCACCTGCACAGAAAGATGTTTCACCACGAGATCGTCCTATTGATTCTCGAAGCCCATCTCACAAATCTGACGCTGATGTAAGATCCTGTCAATTTTGACAACTTTATTATACTCCCTTATTTTGGGCTAGAGAACTTTTTTTCAATTTAAAAAAATACAAATTTCTGGGCGAGCCATCTGAATTGGGTACACTATGTTTGTAGGAATGATGGGGTAGCCACTTATCGCAGGGATCTACAGGTGGCCTTATTTTGACTTCTGTCATCAGTCGTCTGGATGAAGTCGCTAAATCATGAATGTTCTGGTCTACATCTTGGATTAATGACTTTGTTGCATGGACTTTTTTGGAAGGTTCATATCCTTGTTGGGTTTAATACATTCTTCCATTCCGTGGCCCTTACTGTATTCCGAAATTCTTTCTATCTGATGCTCTTAAAAAGTGTTCAATTCCTAATCTCTCCCCTTTTTGGCTGGAGTGTTCCTACAATATTTGTCAGTTTTTTTTTTCCAAAAAAATTTTCCATCACTTATATTTCCGTTCTCCATTAATCTCCTTATATTGATTAGTTTAGTTTTCAATCATGCAGTTCCGGTTACAAACTTAAAACAAATTCTTATTATAGCTGTGTAGCCTTTGGTCGCGAAGGTTGAATGCTGCTTAGAGATGGTGTACGTACCATTTGAGGCATTATGCCATGTTGTTGTGAAATCTGGGTTGCATTCTTCGGTGTTGTACCAATCCTTGGTATTGGAATTGGTTCTTTCAAGATCATTCAGCAGGCGCGGCTGCTTGCTTTTGTGCTGGACTGTCCGACAGCGTTGAAGTCAGTCTTACGCGACTGGGACCTGCTCGGCCCACATTTTCTTTTGCTGATTGCGTGATGCTTGCCTAAAGATGGCCTTGTGGAAGTCTGGTCCGGCTAGAGTACACCGGATACTCTATAATTGCGTTTCTAGTCTGACGCGTTGCAGCATGCATTCCTTGACCCTTTTTCTATTTTTATTTTTAGGATTTGCTTGTTTTTACTCTTGGTTTTGATAAATTGAGAAATTCTAATGAGCATAGTTGAATAGGCTATGATAACCAAATTTATTCAAAATTTTAGAGGTAGGCCTATTTCATGTGGCAGCAGAGCCTATCGGGGTATCGACTGTTACTCTAATTTCTTAATTAGTTGAGATCAAGGAACAAAAAACCAGACCGGACACTAAACCGGTTGAGATGGTGGTTCAAGGGTCAGTTGGTCGAACCGGGGTCAACGCAGGATCCAACCGATCATATTAAAATAATTTAATTTAATTAAAAATAACAAAATATAACAACATTGACAATCACTAATAACAAAATATAAGAAAATATGACAATAATTTGATTGTAATAATAACAAAGTATAACAACATTGAGAATTTTAATCTTTATGGTTCATCATTAATTAAAATTAATAATCATCGATATCAAAATTATCATTAAAATTTATTTAAATCTATAGGGGCTGATATATTAGGAGCTGCATAAGAAAAAATATGACTAATAATAACCTAATCATTCAAACTGGTTTATTACCGGTTCACACCGGTTTTTACCTGTTTTCATCAGTTCACACCGATTTGACCGGTTCTCTACTAGTTCAACTTCTTCCTGGTTTAGTATCCAAACCGAACCGGTCCATTGACGGGTTCATCGGTTTACCGGTTAAACCGGCTGGTCCGAACTGGTTTTTTATTCACTGGTTGAGATAAATTTTTGGACTCAATTTGTCTCGTTGCTCTTCAAGTTTCTAGGGTAACTAAACTGTGAGGACCTCGATGTCATGTTCTATTGTTTTATTTAAAATAAAAATATTGAATAAAAAGTAATAGAATTTTGCCTTGCTGTAAGGTTCGATTTTTCTTTTTATCAAACAACATCACTTTACCTTCTCAAAAGTATGGCTCTAGACCACCGGGGGGGGGGGGGAGGGAAGAAGTTAACCTCGCTTAAACGATCAAAAAGTTGAACTTACCGCTAGGGACCTACCTTTTCGCTATTCAACACTTCACGCGATGTTGCGAAGTACAAAAACTAAACCAAAGGTTTGGCTGCAAGTGCAGTAATATTAACACAGCAATACGAAGTACGAGGTAAATTTATAAGTTGGTTTATGTAAAAAAGTTTCTTGACTTACGTAAAATAAGTGCTTATGACTGTTCATCCAAATTAGGGAGTATTTAGCAACCCTCAAAAGTGTTTTTAAAAAACACTTTCCTGCAAAACAAGACAAACTCTTCTACATATTTACTTCATATACTGTAAAAGCACTTTTAAAACTATGGTTTGGTTTCTGAACTTCGAAAACAGTTTAACAGTACCCTATATTTTATTTATGGATGAAATTGCTCGGCGTGCTATTCTAATTTTGCAGGATCTGAAAACTGAAGCATTACAAAGATCCACTGTGAATTGGTTGATCCGCACAGAATGGTATTTGGAGGTGAGGAATAGATAAAGCCGTCACGAGTAGTTGCCACGTAGGTTGAGGTTGATTTGAAATTTGTTGCAGACAGGGTTACCACCACTGACTGTGTTCGAGAAGGAAAAGTGTCCCTCTGGAACGGGCCGTCATGATAGATAGTTAGGTACCACCAACCACTGCAAGAAAAATGGCAAGCTCTTATCGTTATAGGACCCAAGGATGCTTGAGCCCCCAATATGCTGGTTTCATGGTTTCTCCGTTGCTTTGTTCTTTGAGTTTGTGTCTCAGATGGGATTGATGTTTTACTGCTAGGTTGTGCTATTTCTGCAACACTTGCGAAACGAATGCTTGAGTAATGAAGTACCTTATGGTTGGGTTTGGATAATCGAGCCTTGTTGCGCCAGTGTTTTCTTTTCTCCACCCCTTAAGTGTTTTTAAATATTTGAATTGAAGCATTTGTGTTAAGATCTAATCTATACTTATTATACATCATCAAGCAGCATGTACGTTGAAGCCAATACAATTACATTATCGAATGGGACTTCAGGGTCCTTTTGGGATGTAGTTCTGATGTACCGCTTGCTAATTAACTATATTTCACGCACAAAGATTCGGAACATTAAAAACCAATTGCAATGGTGATGTTGAATAGGGTCAATCTCTTGTTGACGGAAGACATTGTGAAAGCAATGGTCAACGGAAGGGTTATCATATACCCTGATGATTGATTTCGGCCTGCCTAGTGCCCCAAACTCAAGAAACACAAATAATTATCTTATTCAAAATCTAATCATCAAGTGATATCAACCTGTCAATCTCATCCAAAATGTCATATTCAGTCGCATCATGTATCTGAAAAGTTGCAATTTAATAGGCACATGTAGGCAATGTCTAGCTATAATTATATAAATGAAGTTTCGAAAACAGATATCCAGGATCATGTACATAACAAAGATCAAGAAACTTCAACACAACATCCCATAACCATTGGACACCACAACAAAAGACAATACAAGATGCATCAGCGCCATACAGAAGCATATCTGGTAACTACACTTGACTCTCCAACTCTCGGACAGTTGATCATACGAGGGGCTTTAATTGCAAAATTCTTCCCAAGTCGATTAGACCTTGATTCTAATAAGCATACATACACATAGTAGGTGGTGGCTAAGTTAGACAACAGAAGAAGTTTTAATTAGGAGCGATCTTCTTTAAAACAACAACATTTTTTGTCCGGCTGTCAGACACTACTTCTTCAGTAAATTTCCCGAGAAAATCCTCTTGCAATACGGGCTGGTGCGCAAGATTTTGTAAGGACGAACTGCTTCAACCAAAGACGTATGAAGGGAACCCTGCATCAGAAATCAAACAACAAGAAGGGGAGATGAAATCATGCTTGACAATTCTAAAATTATATGCAAACTGAGCTTCATCTATGTCACATTTTAAACCTTTGTCACTGCAAGAGCAGACTGAATGACATAGTTGGCGTATGGATCTTGCAACAACTGCTCGAAGTGAGGTGAAGACAGCAATTCTCGGACGATCCTTGATCTGCTCTCTCCAACATGCTTAAGGCATTTTTCAACCACGTGACTGCTAAATTTTTGCGTTGACAGATTTACGTAGTTCCCTTTGAACTGACAAATCAGCTTAGCTGAGGCAGTTGGGATCTCCATCTCTATTATATACTGAACAACATAATTTCTGACAGATGACAAATGGAAGTGTTAGTTTTAGTGATTAAGACTAGACCGAGCACGTGTAGTGATTTTGTCATTATTGGTGCCAGATAAAGGCATTATACACACCTTTTTAAAAGACATTTTTTCCTATTATTTTTTGTACTATTTTTGAGTTTAAGGAAACTCCTTATGTGTTTTTTCTTTTGAAAAACTAGCATGCGTCCTGTGTGTTGTAAGGGATTTGGAAAATAAGTAGCATTATTTATGGCTTTTAGACACCGTAACTTGTTAGTTTTTAATTATATAGATGTATGTATATTAATCCACTTGAATAGCATTTTATTCGAATCTTATTGAATTTTACAAAATGATTTTGATTTAAACTAAGATGATGTTTGATTCGTTATTATGAGTTAGGACTAATGATTGCTCCTTATAAAGTATAGTGTCCTATGATGTCAATTCAAGAGGACTATAATTAAAAGTAACTTATGAATAATAAATAACCAAAAAAAAAAAACTATCTACTTCCCATTCTTACCTCTTATCATGCATAGCGGCTATTCAAAACATGGACAACAGTTGTAGCGGACAAAATGACTATATTTATTCGCTAAGCAATCATAAAATTAGTCATTAATATTTATTGAATGTAAATCCTGTGAAGTCATTACAATAGGAGCAAATTTCAAGTATGTCAATTTAGCCCATCAATATTATCTCAAATCTGGAAGTCCCAAACAAAATAAGCAATTCTTAACAGATGAAAGATCAAGGCAAATTACCCAAAAGGATCTTGAGCAAGAAGAAGCCCATGTTTGCATATTTCTGCGACCAGCTTATCTCGATATTTGCCGATCGAATGATCAATGCAACGTTGCAATACGCAACATCCATGTCGATGAGTAGCTATGTCAACACAAAACTTTGCGGCAGCATAAAAAATAAACTGTGAAACATAATGAAGGTAAACGAGAATGAATTAACTTAATCGTATAATTGAACTAAAAAAGAGATTGGTGGGGGGGGGGGACAAAGATCGTGGAACAATGTGCGCGGGCAAGAAAATACAAACTCAATAATAGAGGTACAGTTCTAGAAAATTTATGCATAGCAAGGACAATATGACGCTGATATAAAAACAGCAGAGCCTCTCTGAAGGCTTGAATTACTAATGTTACTTTGTCAGTAACTTCAATAAAAAAGAATGACTCCTCATACAGAAAATTTTGGCAACAAACTACTTCCTTTCAATTGAATTTTCCATTTACACATTTCCTTCAGATTCTGTGCCTACCTACCTTCATGCATACCATCATAACTGAGCCTGTTTGAAAGACCTGTCTCTTTCATGTAAACTTTCAGAAACAAAGATTGCATTCAAAGTGAAGTGGAAATGGATATTTAAACGTTACTTTGAGAGGCACTTAACAAGGTAATTTCGGAGAAATATTCAGCGCCTGCGAGGCTGCAACCATATTCATTTCAAACTAAATTAAGAATTCTGCATATTTTCTCCCTGTATGCAAGCATTGAAGATTTCGGAGGTTGCTGAGCATGTTCCACAGTCACCTAAAAGCTCTAATCCTGACTTTTTGAAACAGAACATACCACTAAGATGATGGTTATAGAACTCAACAGAGTTAACGGCTTAAGAAAGCACCTAACGATCTAATTTTATTGAGCTAGCATATTGAACCAGTTGGAACATGATATACAGGAGCTCTACGTAATTTAAGATGTTACAAAAGGTTTTAAACAACGAACCTTTTTCCGATTATAACATCCTAAGCTAGGCAGTGTCAGGTTGAGCTTAACAATACCAAGATCATATGGTATGACTATAGTAAAGTAGCAATATTTTTGGGAAACGTTGGGTTGAGAGTTCATTCGAAACGATTTCCATAAGGAATGCAGCTAACAAGATAATTCATTTTTCCACATTTTCTCCTTGGATCCTATGTTTCCATTTTGTTGCATCATACTGTTCACGCAGTACAAATGACCAAATAGTCATCCACTTTCGATTGTGGAAGCAAAGCAGGTGAAAAAACAGATATCATATCTAAGTGTAAGATTGGCATTAAAAATTAAGGGAAAATATTATAAGAGAGGCGTTTTACCTCATTATCTTGACAGCTAAGGCATTGCAAACAACGTTGTATCACATGATTTCCATTCAGATCCTTAATAAGATCAAGAAAACCTGCTTGAAGGGCTGACTTCACTAATGAAATTTGTTTCCTAGAGTTGAGTGTCTCAATCAACTTCTGTATGACCCTTGTGCTGACGCAATGGTATTTGTTTAGTGGTCAAAAGTATATAATATGTGCTATATCCTATCTACAGAAGAGGATTAAAAAGGAAATTTATTGTTAAAATGGAAAGACATACCCATGCGTGTTTAAAGATATTCTGACGAGCTGCCCTGGTTCTTTAGTCACCATGGAAACAATCTGCAATTTTTGTTCTTCTTTACACACATCCAGTAACTTCTGCACAAGATAATTACCAAAAGGGTCCATCATGAGTTCAACAACATTATCTATGATTCCCTCAAATACTATATGCATGTCCTTAGAGTTTCCCTTATCAACCATCCTTTGTAGGAAGCGACATCCGTTCTGATCCTTTGCCAGAAAGTAAATGTAATCTTGGTGTTCAGCCAAAGAACAGAAATTCAGTAGTGCGGGCAGTGGGAAATCACCAACAAGACTGCCATTATTCCCATAAATTTGACTTCCAGGAGTATAAGAATTGCGTTTAGAAGCTTTCTCCCCCGCAGTTGCAAATGCAATCTCATTAAGGGAATTCTTTTTGTTACCCCTCATAGAATTGAATCCTTTGTCTATGCAATAATTTATATCTTTTCCTTGTATGATAAAACTATTGTCACATCGAAACGCCACTGGATCGCCACCAGCTCTTTTGGACGAAAGAAATTCAGGCAGCTCAAAGTTAGCAATTCCCCTTATTTTTTCGTTTGTATCCTGAAGTGAAGCTAGCTTGGGGTGCATAATTTGAGAGAATCTTAAGGGGTTTTCGACACTTCTGCTTCCATCATAATCCATTCCACAAAGTTGTGAGCTAGTTAAACCATCATAAAGGAAGGGGTTGATGATAGATGGCTTCTGCAGTTGAACTTCTCCTTCGTAGCTGCTGCTCCCCTGTTTCTTGCTTTGCTCCAATTGATATGTTTGGTTCATGTTCCAACCAGAGCACAAACTCAAAGCGCTTGATTGACCATGCGCGAGGGAAGGAGTGCATCCTTTCTCCGAGGCCTGGTTAGCCCACTTCATGTCAGCAACCATACTCGGTGAAACTCCCCAAGTAGACGATGAGATACACTCATAATTAGGTGCGGGAACTTGATTGCAAAAATCTTCATGGGAGTTCCTTGTTTCATTAACGCGGGGAATATTTATATCGAAAGAAAAACCGTCAAATCCAAATCCGTAGGAGTCCGCTTCGGTTGCCTTTGTTTTGTTACCATTTCCCTGCCCGTCCACAATGTTCATTCTATAGAAATCATGAGATAGGTCCAGATCAACCACTTGATTATCAATGCTGCTCTTCCCAATATGGAAATCCGATGACTCGGGGTCCCACAACAATTTAGTTGAGTGATGATCGTGGGGTGTTAGATGCTTCCTGTCCTGAAATGGAGCTGAGTATGAGGAACTGTGGGGAGAAATATGAAGCCCATCAGCGAAAGAAGTTAACGAAGGAGAATGTGATGTGTGAGAGACCCTCCATACAGGGGAGTTAATGGCCAAATGCTCATTGTACCGATGGCAATGATGAAGATTGGGATATGATGCGTTTGGAAATCCATTCCACCACGTTCCCAACACTCCATCTCTCTTCATGCTGTTCTCTGCGTTGCTCATATTTTTCTCAGATGTCTTGAACATTGTTAGAAGAAAAGCGATTCAAAATTCAGAAACAGAAGGGTGCAAGATTCAGTCCGAAAACCCACGTTATAAAGAAAATTCAGAGGCAGAAGAGACGTCGCAACGAGGCACGGCAACTATTTCGTCGAGTATGCAAGCATGAAGAATGACTGATGAGCTTTATAGCATCTGAATCTCATTTTGTTTGGAATGCGAGAGAACGAGGAATTATCAGAAAGGGGTTTTTGATGCTGACGGTGACGGGTGTGCTGGTGTACGTGTACGGCCCGTCCGGTTCACGCTCACTCTCCCAAAGAAAGATCCAGCCGCTTTATGGTGCGCGATCCCACTTTGGAGCAGAAAAAAAGAGCAGCTTTTTTTTTTTTTTCAAAGTTTAATTCGTAAACAAAAACCGTTTTTTGCAAAAATTGGTTGTTAAATCAGCTTGGATTGTGCAGTTATGATTATTATAATCAGAAACTCGAAATTTAATATCTTTCTGTTGGTTACGCATTCCATTTCTGTGTATGAAAATATTAAAAAATGAATTTAAAAATGTTTATGTTTTTAAAAAATTTGTTCGGAGAGAGAATGTCTGATTAGACCAATTCTACGTAAATAGCTGCCACGGTTAGAGTGTGAAGCTGCCATAAGCATGTTGGGCGTGGGACACTCGGAATGATTCAATGCGTTAGGATCGAGAAAAATATGTTTTTGTTTGAACTTATTTTTTATGAAGAAATATACGCATGTGTGTAATACATTTTAAGTAGTACTCCTCCGGTCCTAATTATAAGACCCAATTGACTTATTTGAGAGATTAAGGAAGTAAGTTAAGTTGGTTATTATAATAAATAAGTGTTGCTATTCCTAAAATATCCTTGCTAATTAAGTATATTGCTAAAACTATCATTATTAAAAGGATTATCTTGGAAAAAAATGCATAAATATAAGAGAGAAAATGAATTGGGTCTTATAATTAGGACCAAATAAAAAGTCAAATTGGGTCTTATAATAAGAACCGGAAGAGTACTATATATACAAACACACACAGCCACAAAAGGATGGGGGAGAGAGAAAAGGAGTAAGCGAGAATTGGCCGACCAAAGCTTTGCTCAGTGGGAGGGAGATGAAATAAATCAGGGCGGAGAAGCGGGGTCGTCCCTTCCTCTGGCCACTGCCCACTGGATGCGTTGTTATTCTATTCATGTTGCCACTTTCAAGCTTTTTCTGAATCTTCACCCTGTTTTTCTCTTGGATAAATAATCTTCACTGTTTCAATATTCTTAGCGGCCAGTCGTTACCCATATTCCACTTCTGCCCCTGCATCTCCACATAATCCGTACTTCCCCCTCTTCTTTCACTTCTGCAGGTTGCGCCACAGGTATTTCATGATTCAAGCGTATTAGCCATCAATCTAATAGCACATACCAATTCAGGTGGACCCTCATGCGTTCTCAGGGGGGCATGAATAACAAATTTATTACTCAACTTATAACTCATTATAAATTTTTAACCATATAGGTATTGATATAACCATAGTTATAGATGCATATGAATCTTTCAACATTGAGGCCTATCTTGGCCGTTGTTCTTACAAGTAGCCATTACGCAGATACCTATTTCTCCAATCACAGCCCCCGCAGTATGTGCTCATCCATAATGCCGACTATGTTTTGTTCTATCTGTTTACATGTAGCAAGAAGCTTATCTCCCTTTTCCTTTTACCCCAAGCTTTTTCAGTTTGGGAAAGGAATTTGCTGTATTTTTTAAACCGTGATGGGACTTCATCCCCCAGAACCAAATCAATTGTTGGTGCATTAACACAAGCAGCTAGAGTATGCTCATCCGAGGAACCGCACATTCAAAACTATGAATGCAGCAGATGGACATTAGGTTAAAAAAAGATACACAGCCCAAATCACTTCATTAAGTAAATAGTTCCTTTTGGCCAAGACATCAAGAAGCCTAAAACAGTCGAGTCCCAGATCCCAAAAGTAAGGTCAAATAATATCATAACGCATCCCCAGTAACAATAACCAAAAAACAGTAGCCATAACACAGTTAGACCTAACAGGCTATACCAAGGCAATGCTGCTCTCCCCCCCAGGTGGCTTCCTAATGCCGCCTAGGTAGTCTCTGGACTCTACCTTTCCATCAGCAAAGATGTTACTGCCACTCATTTCTCGCAGTTTAGCTACGCTGAGTGGCTTCTCGGCAGATGATGGGGGCGCATCACCCTTGAAGATGTCATTTCCGGAAAGATCATTAAATTTCTGGTTATAAATCTTCTTTGCCGTCTTGTTAATTGATTCATTGTCTTCGTCTCCATCAGCCTGTAGATTCAGGTTACGAGCAATTTGTTATTTGACTGAAAGAAACATTAAGCACACAGATACAACATAACAACATTCCCACACGCTTGAAGCACAAAACAGTATCGCTACTCTGCAGTTCACAAGTATGCTCAACTGATATGTGTCATATCGTGCAGACAGAGAAGAATTATGTCATCTAGTCTTAAAAGTGCGATTATATAATTCAGATTAGCAACATAAAGTAATCCATACAGGAAGTGTAGCAGGTTCTCCAATGCTTATGCTTCCTTTCAATTCCATAATGCGAGGAGTCACAGGCCGGGGTTTAATTTCAGGTGGAGAAGCAAATATGTTATGGCCACTCAGCTCCTTGCACTTTGCATCAGAAAGCTGCTTCTTCTTAGAGTCTGATTCACTTTCCAAGGTTCCACTCAGCTCACGCTGCTTGGCCACCTCAGGCAAAGTAGTGGGCTTTTTGGGAGAAATGCTCTCTTCCTCACCAAAGGAGATATGACTGATTCCAGCAATTGCTTGCTGCCAATTTCCAGAAATCAACAATGGGAATATGAGTCAGCAAAAATCCAATACAAAATATTGAAATCTGATTGTTCTTACATAACAATTGGTACCTGATACATGCGCAGTCCAGTTTTGTTCGGAGTGGGGTTGGCACTGCCGGGTTCTAGTGTGTCGTCATCTCCTTTGGCTGCAAAGATCCCACTGCCAGTGATCTCCTTCATTTTATACTCTGAACAAGGCTTTCTGAAAATTGCATGGCAAACCAATTTCAGATGCCATAAAATAAATACACACAAAGCAAAAAACGCATTGGTTCATGATTGATAAGAAGGGGAAACTATTAGTTAATGTGATTCAATAATCGATTTTGCATTCATTTCCTACTTGTTTTAGTACTCGCAACCCACATCACCATACCTTAAATGGAAGTTGTAACAAATATAAATAATAATAAAATAAAGGAACAAATGAAGCTGTTTCCGGTATCCTAGGCATATTAGCTCTTTCAATCAAGATTTAGTTTGCAGATCAGACAGAAAACATGGTAGAATCAGGTCCACGAACAATTTAACTGATCATTCGAACTTAATCTCAAAGTAGATAAGAAGCAGCGCACATAGATCTCACCGTTTGTTTAAGTTCTCGACTTCTTCGTCCGTCACCTGACCCCCAAACACCACCTTACTGATCCCATCCGACGGCTAACATCCAACAGAAAAGACGATTGTTGATAAAATTTCCCACCGATAGTAAATAGAAAAGAAAGAAGCAAAGTTGCAGAAACCAAATTAAGGAGGAACAGGATTGAGAGCAGTGAATAGAATATGGAGTACCTGGTGAGAACGAACAGTGGCAGAGCCAGGAGCAGGAGAATCAGGAGGTGGAGTTTCGGACCAAGTAAGCAGATCTGCGGTGGAAGTGTGAGGCTTCCTAACCGGGGTGGTTCTCTCCATTGGTGGTCAACAGTAATTCACCAAAGATTGAGTTCCAATATGAGAGATGACGACAGAGGAAACGAATAAGCCCAAACAGTGATTACTCCTCAGTAATCACCTAAAGACAAACCCGCATTTAAATTTAAAATTTTAAAAAATATATACTGATGACAAAAGGAGGCGAACCGTCCCTATTTCTGGGGGCGGACGCGTATATCTCGGCTTGCAGACGGAAAGATGAAAATGGAATGGGCGGAGGTGACGACGATGAACTGCGGATCTCAAAAATTGCAGCAGTTTGTTTATTTATTTCTGGATTGGATTGGTTGCTTTTAGTTCTTGGCTTTGAAGGACGCAGAATGAATGAAGGTGGAGTACAAGAGGACCAAGGAGGATATAGAAGCAGCAGTAGAAGCTACTCTCCTGGTCTGAACTTTAAGCCAAGGCCACCCTCCACAATATATATACATATATATATATATATATATATTGTAGACCTCCCCTGTCTCTCCTTTAATTTTTCCCCCTAAAAATTCGTTGATCATTTATGCTCTCTCTCTCTCTCTCTCTCAATTTTGAATCTCACACCGCCCCCGCTGTATGCCCCTTTTTTCCCCTCTTTGTTAATGGCAAGCATGTGCACCGGCTGGACCGCCACATGCCGGTTTTAGAAGAGCTACTCAATTACTCTTTTACCCCTTTCAACTCTGATGCTCCGGCCAGCTCAATTTTGAAACTATAAATCATTTTATGCAATTATTAATAATTATATTTCGAGCTACCTGTCTCCTTTACTGCCGCCTTTCCCCCAAATTCTGAAAATATTTTGCGCAGAGACGTCATTATCTCTAAAAGTCTTGAATGAGTAAAGGCTGTATGGGCTAAAAAGAGAAAATTGTTGGTCTAAATGAATAAAGGATGTGCAGGGAAAAAAATCTCAGCAAAATGAATACTAGAGAAATGCATTTTAACTGGGGACTTGGATGCATTAGCATTAAGTTCTGTTTGGCAAATATCTAAAACCATGGTTTTAAGATGGTTTGGGTAAAAAATTTGTCAAATAAAGAGAAAAATCAACAAACCACGGTTTTAGGCTTAAAATTATTATTTCAAAAAAACTGAATCCATTCAGCTTCTGGTTCAAATTAGAGAGTATAATTGTACTTGTTAGAGTAGATCCTAACAGTAATATAACTTTAACACCCCTCAATTATTTTTCTATAAACATATTTAATTTTATATCTTATAAATATATATACACATATTAATTATTTACTAATTACATTATCTTATTTATTATTAATTTTTTTGGTAAAAAATATATTATTAACAATTTTATTCCTTCAAATTAAAATATATTATAAAATCTATATTTTATGTAATTATCATATTAACTTATGCTTTTTTAGTAATTTGTGCATATAAAAGTACTTCTGATAATAATTATCTAAATATTCTCACTTTATTATAATCACTTTTTTACAAAATTTATTCTCAAAAAGCTATTCTCCAAACCGTGATTTAGTTTTATCGAAACACCCCTAAGTATCACTCAAAAAAGCATTCTCATCCCTTTCTTCTTTCTGTTTCAGACTTGAAAAAGAAAAAAGAATAATTACAGTAAGATCCCAACAAAAAATAATTATTATAAAGTCCCAATAACAATTTAAAAAGTCTGTAATAATAGGTTTTAAAGTATGAAATGATAATTTTTTAGGCTTATTTATAATTATATTAGTCCTAATATGACCCAATTATTTTGGAGATTGAAGTAAGAGTTGTTTATAATTAATGTTTCATTCTAAAATAAATGCTAAAAGTATATTGCTCAAAGAAGGATTATCTGGTCTATAGAGAAAAAGGGTCAATTGACCTATTCGTTATGATATATATTTTTGGAGCTGATTGTAATTCTCTCAAGAAAAATCACTTGCCAAAGGGGTGAGGTCTCTGAAAAGGGCATTATCGTCATTAGAGAAGTTAGTAGATGATGGCGTGAAACCGTCAATTGTGCGAATGCGCTGGAATGTCACGTTACAATGAAATTATCCGTTAAAACATCCGGAATGGCTGCTTGTTGGCATTGATTACGGAAAATTCGAATTTTTTTGGAACTTTTGTTGCGAATATGAGGCTTTGTCTGATACAGTGGGAAGAAGAGAAGCGAAGTGAAAGTGAGAGGAAGTTATAAGTATTGTTTGGTTTGAAGGAAAAAAAAAAGGTTTATTGTTTGGCTCTGGAGGAGAGAGGAAGTAAATAATTATAAGTTGACAAATATGTTATTATTATTTTATTATTTTATTTTATTTTATTTTTAATTAAAATTATTATTTTCTATTTTATGAATTAAAAAAATTTATTTCACATGCATAAAATATTTATATATCTATAAAATATATACATATCATAAAAAATATTATATTATTGTTATCAAATATACATATCATAAAAATTACATATTTGTTATATTATATTGAGAAGAAATAGTACAATAACGATAAATAGTATATCATCATTATCAAATATTATTTAAAATTTTTTTTTACTGAAAATGATAAACTTAAAATTTAAAAAGAATAGCGGCTGAAAGAGTTAAAAAAACAATTTTTTTTATTGAAAGGGATAAAATTAGAATATTTTAACATTGATATAGATAATTTAGTCAAGATGAAATATAATATTTTCCTATTCTTTAAAAAAAAATCTTAAATTTGGAGGAGAGCACAACAAGAAGAAGGAAACACTTAAAGACAATTTTTTTTCTCCTCACCTCCCTCCATTTTTTTTCTAACCAAACGTAATTTCTTATCCATTTCCTCTTTTTTTGTCCAAAACCTTCCGACCAAAAGTCACAATAACAGTCTTATAAAACTAATGAAATTTCAAAGTTATTTCCTTGCCCAAAAAGGAAGGTATTGCCTTTTTGGTAAACCGTAATACCACTAGTTTTTACTGATTGATTACCAAAAAAGACTATTTCTCAAGGAGAAACTTACCAAAGAAACCGGCCAAAAACTTTATCCAAAAAAAAAAACTGTCAATAATAACGGTCATCTTCAAGCATGGCCAATATAAGCCATCATGTAACTATCTATTCAATTTCTCTGTCACCTAAATCCCCTTAGTTTATTATATTGTGATCCACCTAAATCACTTTTGACTATGATTGAATTTTTATTAATTTAAAAAATAAATAATCGTGCTTAGACGAGAATCTTGTGGATCTTTGAAATGACAATTGGGCAAGCAATTCATCCAACTGTGTTGCTCCCCCCCCCCCCCCGGGCCGGGGGGTTGGCAAAGCGTATTGTTGATCATTCCAAATGCAGGAATAGCGCACGAAAAATAAAATCCTAATTTTAGCAGCTTGTTTCTCAAACTGCAAATTCTTATATGCCTAGATAGAGAAACGTAGAGTCTACTGTATAGTGATTCGGAGGAAGTAACTATGGGGTGTAGGTGAGAAGAATTTGAAAATGGGGAGAAGTGGACCAAAAAGGCAGAAGCAAAAGAAAATACTCTTTCAGTCCTTAATATAAAACTCATTTAACTAATTTGATTAAATTAAGAAGTTAGGTAAGTTAGTTAATTATAAGAAATGTGACACATTTTTCCTAAAACACCATAATCATCTTTATTAATACCTCATCTCCCTTTTTTACTTGATTATATTTGAGAGAGTATCTAAAAGGATAATTTAGAGAAAACTGATAAATATGATAAATAAGTCTTATATTTAGCACTAAAACCAACTCAATAATTAGATCATATATTAAAGACCGGAAGAGTAGTATAGTAAGATGCCCCATAAACGTGTATGGGAACCTGACTTGAAACACACCCAACTATCTAACAATGTGGGGGTGGGGGGTTTATTGCGAAGATGCCATAAAGTTAGGCTATGTTTGGATTGCAGTTGGAGAAGCCAAAAGCACACGGAAAAGCGTGAAACTGAGGTTAGTGGCTTATTGCAGCTTAGAAGATTGTTTGGATGGGACTCCTTTTCCAACTGACTTATGAGAAAAAGTAACTTTTCTAACTGACTTGGAAAAAAGTAACTTTTCTAACTGACTTATCCAACGTAATCTGAATCAACTTTTCTAACTGACTTATGGGAAAATTATGCAAAGCTTACGATCTAATTAGTCATGTGATTTCGTTTACTTTAATTAGAGACCAAATAAATTTTAATTTATATTCTTGTTTATCCATTATGTATATTTAATTAATTATCTACAATGTGTTTTCAAATTTTCCTCCATAACAAATATTTTTATTTTATAATCTCACAAATAAAATATTTATATTTTATCATAATAATTTTATGTATTTTTTAAACTATTATCACATTAAAAATATTAAATTTCAAACACTACTATTCAATAAAATCCATGCCCTTTTCAGTCATTTACAACTAAACTAACTTTTCTATTAATTATCCAAACAACTTTTAACTTTTTCAACTGACTTTTTATAAACACCTATCCAAACATAAATCATATTACACTAACTGACTTTTACTTTAATTTCAGTTATAAAAGTCAGTTAGACTATAAGTTAGTTTTGTCGAACGCCAATCCAAACATACCCTTAATGTTGTACTAGGTTTTCGAGATGCTTGATCTTTCCCTTACCATCTCTACCCCTCCACTAAATAACGTGACAAGTTGCCGTTCAACTGCCACTGCCATGATGGCCATTGCTTAACAAGCACCACAACGCCAATTGGGAATGGACCTGCACTTCGTATCCGTCATCAACCTGGTCTCATTGGAGCTACGAATATATATATATATATATATGTATGTATGTATGTATGTATATATAGGTACATATATGCTGCCACCTATGGTCCTATATTCCATATATTCTTCAGTACTCTCACCTCATAATATTCTGACCCATCAAAATATTCCAACTCAATAAATTAATGGGGTGTTTGGATATTTTCAGAAGTGTTTTTTAAAAAATATTTTTCATAAATCGAAACAAACTCCTCAATATATTTACTTCATATATTACTGTAAAGTCACTTTTAAAATCTTACATACCAGTTTACATGCTGTTTTTTTAAATAATAATTCTGAAGTACTCTTCCGATATTTAATGTAAGACTTATTTAATTAATTTGATTAGATTTAAAAAGTTAGGTAAATTAGTTAATTATAAAAAACGTGACATGTTTTTTTCTCAAAACATTATAATTCTTTTCTTTAGCATCTTAACTCCGTCTCCTATTTTATTATGACTGAAAGAGTACTAATAGAGATAATTTAGAAAAAAATAGTAAATATAAAAATTATATCTTATATTTATGATTAATATTAATTCAACAATTAAATCTATATTAATGATTGGATGACTATCATTTTTACAATATTTTCACATTACCCGCCTCTCTTGAACTTTTTCTCATTTGTTCCTCGTGACTCGCACCCTCCTATTTTCAAAATTTGGACCCTCCCTTCTCTTGTTCTTTGTTGCTAGGCCCTGTTAATATTTGTTTTTATTCTCACGCTTGCCGCATCGTCTCTTGATGGTTCCTCTCTCTCTCTCTCTCTCTGTTAGAAAAGGATATAAGCTTTATTTAAAATAACCTATAAGTAATTTTTTAATCATAACTTATGAATTACGAGATAAATATATGAAACGAATTTTACCTTAATTTACGTAAAATGTGCTTATAAATGCTTTTGAATACTATTTCAAATAAGCCATAATGAGAGAAAAAATCGCGTTTGACAAACAATAAATTCTAATTCCACCATACTTGTTAATAGCAAGAAAAGTAGAAGACAACTTGGCGGAATTTATATGTCCACCTTATCAATTAAGATAAAAATTACTTTTAAAAGATGCTATATAATAAGAACCGAGGGAGTACCAACTAAAAAAAATGAAAAGCCAGCGAGACAATAGAAAGGGCCAAACAATAAATTCGACCATTTATGCTATTGGATTTCGATTACTGTAGAAGTAGAACTAAAATAGCAAAGTAGAAGTATAAATATTTTAAAAGCGCCCACCGTGGGGCTCGAACCCACGACCACAAGGTTAAGAGCCTTGCGCTCTACCGACTGAGCTAGACGGGCAGCTGTTGGAAGCTGGTTCCAGAATTTCAACTAGAACAAATTTTAAGAAAATGCAACGCCAACTCAAAAGCTGCATCATTTTATTATGTCGGTCTCTCAAAACTACTTAAAGGGGTTATTTTATTTAATTAATTATCTTGATTTTATTTTTTTCATTTTCTGGGTTTCCAAAATTATTTGCAAATATATATGTTATTTTTAACATTAAATACTTCGTAAATTTCATTTTTTTATTTAATAATATTAAAAACCTATCGAAGGGGTTAACATATTTGAAGAAGACATTATAATTTATAAAATAACATGAAAATTTATAGGGTTTTTAGGAAGTTTAACGCCTCTCTTGCTTGCCAATCGAACTCTAAGCAATTAGAAGTTCTCTGGAATGTATGCACGTATATGCATAATAAGAAAAATTAAAATATATTTTTTAATTTTGTATAAGGTTTTAATTTAATCTTTTTGAATATTTAATTTTAAAAAGCATAATTTTAATCCTTTAACGTAAAAATTGTAAATAAAAAATGATTATATTAAAATTTTAAATGTTGATGAAATATTTTCAAATGCTGTTGTGTTATGCTTAATTTTAACAATCATAATTATTATAACAAAATTATCATTTAAGAATAATCATTTTATACCCCTTGTTTGTGGGTTTAGCTGGTAAAAGGATCAGACTTTCTCACCAAAAAGAGGGTTTGATCCTGGGAAATGTCATTTTGTTGTGATTTCAATCACGGTGTTGGGGGAGGCATCACTGCAATGCAATGAAGTTAGGAGATTCCTACCTATCGAGTCAAAAAAAAGAGCTTGCTTGTCATGCTTCTATGCTCGTGAGGACAGGTCCCAGTAAATCAAGTATTAGGTGTCTTGCCCTTATATAGTAGGTGAGCCTAACCCCTTTCCTAAAATTTTGTTATAAAAAAAAAAAAGAATAATCATTCTATGGTTAAAAAAATTTAAATTAAAAAATCAAAATGAAATCTTTTACTTCTAGAAAGTTAAAATATTAAATATATACCTTTTCCTGAAAAAATTATACGACTCCCTGGCACTAAATGAATGTGTGTGTGTGTGTGAGTATATGGTGTTAAATAATTCTGAATGCAAATCCGCAATAGTAGTGCCATTTAGTTATGTAAAGTTAACATTTACATATTCTTTTTTTGCCACCTAACATATACCTTTTTATTTCTTTTTTTTTTCTTGGGCAAAAAATTTTATTTCTCCCTCGCTCGATACATTATCATACGTCAATTGGAAGAAGGAAAAAAAATTATCATTCACCCGTTAATGCAAACCTATCCATTTCATTGTATTTGGATTAGGTTTTTAAAAGATGATTTTACAAAATTCAAGATAAATATATGAAAACAACGCCTCCACCCCCCAAGGATTGATGAATGCCCAATGAGAAAATCAGATGGAATCAAAATTGTCAGAAAATGGCCAGCTCAGTGAGCCATGCTGACCACAGCCATAAGCGCAAAGGGAACAATTTGGGGTGACAATGGGGCACACGTTCGCCGTTGAGAATCTGGCACGAACACTAACAAGAACTATAAGAGCAACACCACCCTCTCCCTCCCGCCACCCACAACCTCGGAGTGTGGAAAAAGCGGAGACGAGATTCCTCTTTCACATAGCTGCCAATGGCGGTAGCAATCATCAATAACCTGTTCTGTGTTTATACCCCTACGACTCAACTCCGCAGCTCCTACTTGTGTTCCTTACGCCATTCTACCCGCCTCTTTAGACGCGCTTCCTCTGCATCTTCCCAGGCCTTTCTTGACCCCAAATCCACCGTAATGCTTCTTCTTCCTCTTATTTCTAGCCAATTACAATAATATACATCACCTATATATTTATTGGGTCTGGTAGGCTTCAATTGAATAATTAAGGGAATAAAGACGCTGATTTTTATTTTTTTTTGGAAAGTATCAAAATCTGCTAGTCCTTTTCTTTTTGGATGGAGTGAGTGCTGTAGAAATTAGAAAGAGATGAACCGAAAGCAAATGCCGCAGCAATAGGGTCATAGGGGTTTTAGAGCATTAAAGTACTAGACGAAATCGGAGGCCCTTCGTGTTGCGTACGTTAGTCCTGGCTGTAACATTGGGTACAAAATGAATGCATAGTACCTGTTGATTAAATTCGTCGGTTCTTGAGTGATTTCTCTTCGTCCCACGTCACCTTGATTGTTATTTCTCGGCCTAATTGGTGTTTAGGATGCCGTGAAACTTGATAAGGAAGCTAACCGGAGCAAGAACTTATTGGCTTGTCCCATATGTTACGACTCCCTGACGTGGACTGGTGATCCTGCTTTCTCCATGTGAGTTGATTTGTTTAAGTAATCTCTGACTTGTGAAACTATTGCCCGCCTACTGGATGCAGCAACTTTTCTTTTCTGCAAGCTTTCTTATTTGCGTGTGACTTTATGTGTGAATCTGTGGCTGTGATTAGAGACTTTTAGTATATAAATAGTTATGACATGGATAGCTAACTGGTTTCGATTTCTTCATGGGTCGTTCAATACAGAGATGCTATCCCTGGATCTAGCTTGCAATGTAGCACGTGCAAGAAGACATATGCAGGGAGGGAAGCATATCTTGATCTAACGACGGCAAGTGGGGCTAAGAGTTATGGGGAACCAATGCCAGCTTCCACGGAGCTTTTCAGGCATGGAAGCCTGTTTGTTTTTCCTCATTTATTTTTATCGGTGGAACCTTTGATTTCCAATCGGGCATGTTTAGGAGTCAGGACTGTTTGGTAGTAGGGGGAAAATAAACTGGAAATGTGAGATCGTATCCTTCAGCTGACCTAATTTTAATTCTCCCCGTTAGTTGGCAAAGTTTGACCCAAGTATTCAGATAAAAGGGTTGCCTTGTCAGAATAGTATTAAAGTAGAATTTAATTATCAAAGAGGTTGTTCTTGTGAAGCACTGACCACGAAACTAGCTTGCATCGCTGATGCACACAAGTTGTTCATTGTATCAGGCTGCCACTGGTATCATTTCTATATGAGAGGGGTTGGCGTCAAACTTTCTCTGTATGGGGTGGTTTCCCAGGTCCTGAGAAAGAGGTGAATAGGTCTTTCTTCCTTAAGCATATATCCTCTTGGTTGATCCTGTTTTTTTAATACTAATATTGAATATGCTGCCTTCCAACTGGAAAAAAGATTAATTGTAAATAAATTTCCAGTTTTGACTGTTAAGCCTGGTCCCTTTGAAGGAGCACTAGAAACTGTCAAGGTAGGCAGCAAGATACGGGCGTTTCATACTAGAAATTACTCAATCGATTTGCGTGCTACTTATGCAGCAGTTTATATTGGTTCACCAAGATATTTTCAAAAGCTAATCTGGAAATGCCAGAAAGATGTCTTAGTCCTTATGACCCCATATTGGCATTCATAGAGCTCATTGACGTGTGACGGGAGAGATACAAATTCAGATGTTGTGTGTAAAATATGCGATGAAATTCTGAAATGCCAATGGATTTATTTCTTAAATCGTTTGTACTCCTGAAGCATTATTAGAATATCTTGTACTTGTGGACTTTCAAGTGCACTTCCCTTGAAATCGTTCAATTGATTTGTTCTGCAGTTTGAACTTATGAAGGATTTCTTGAAGCCAGTCTTTGGTGGAAACATCATTGATGCAAGCTGTGCGAGTGGATTATTTTCAAGATTATTTGCGAAAAGCGGATTGTTTTCTTCTGTAGCTGCTCTAGATTTCTCTGAAAACATGTTGCAGCAATGCTATGAGTTCACTAAGCAGGAGGAGAATTTTCCAAAAGGGTACACAGTTTATATTTATAACTATTCAGAGTCCATACCATTTACCTGTGAATTGACGGATTACCCATTTTTGAGGGACCACTTCTTAATTAAATCTTTCATTTTTATTTCAGTCATATCTCATTAATATTTTGTTTTTAGGAACTTCATCTTGATCAGAGCGGATATATCTAGGCTTCCCTTTGTTTCTAGTTCTGTTGATGCTGTGCACGCTGGTGCAGCTATTCACTGTTGGCCTTCACCATCAGCAGCTGTAAGATAACTATTCCTTAGAACATCATAGGAAAGGGTCTCACTTGTTCAGGATATACTTGCTATCTGATTTAAAAAGGGGATTTCTCCTGGAGGAGTAATTGCAACATTTTAGATATAAACAACATGTCAGTTTGTTTGACACTTGTAATAGCTGATGCGCGGGCCATGCAGCCTGTATCTATACACCCCACTTACAGCATGATTTTGGTAATCCATTTTTCAGGTGGCTGAAATTAGTCGAGTTTTGCGACCTGGAGGGGTCTTTGTTGCAACTACTTATATACTCGACGGCCCTTTTTCTTTTGTCCCATTTTTACGTGAACTACGTCAGGTATATAATTTGTTTACCTTGGGGCAATTAACTGTGTTTCAAACCCAACAAATTTTACATGTCCCATCATAATTGATAAACTGGGTGTGAACGATGTACTTGAATATGTTCTGTTGTTTTTGTAGCATTTTCATACTCTCGATCCTCTGACTTTTTTCTTCTGGTCCTATGCATCCGTTTATTTAGATGCTCTGCAGCTTCCTTCTGATCTTGTACATGGTTGTGAATCATAAGTTTATATCCCTATAAAGAGAAGACGATGCGTTAACGTGTTTTGGTTTTGATATAGAATGTTATTATGGGATATCAGATTTGACGAGGCAATGTGTTTCTTGTTGTAGAATATAAGGCAAGTATCAGGCAGCTTCATCACTCTGTCTGAACGTGAACTTGAAGATCTCTGCACAGGGTGTGGGCTGGTCAGATTTTCGTGCATAAGAAATGGGCCTTTTGTGATGTTCTCTGCTGCAAAACCCAACTAAGGGGTGAGTTTCCTGGGTTCTCTCAGCCCTGCCTTCTCATCGTATTGTGCTGAAGATGTTTTTACTTTGTAGGTATGATGGCATGATCAATGTCTCCTACTCTTGAGAAGATATGATACATCAGACAGGTATCTGTCAGGAGAGAAAAGCGCCCTCTAGAAATGTTTAAAACACTTGGTCTGTAAAGAAAGGATTAGGTTACGTTTTCTTTGGCTCTTCAACACTTTGTCAGAGACGCTGAAACAAGATTCAACATTCAAGAGATATTTCTTTCTTCTTCTTCTTCTGTAAAACACAACGTGCTGAATCCTAGAAACTGACGGACGAAGGGTACATGGGGAGGGACTGGAGCTCCTTGACATAAAAAAGAAGCAGTGCTCTCACTTCACACGGGGCCTCTTCATAATTGCGTGTAATGAGCTTCACACTCCACTCATTATGTATTCCTCCGAGTTGTAAAGGCGGATACTGAGCTTCACACTCCACTCGTAGTTTACGTATTCCTGAGTTAGAGAGAAATATATAAAACCGGACACTATATAGCATGACGTGGTTTTTAACGGTGAACAAAAATCTGGTTTAGACCGACCGGTTCAACTGGTAAACCAGTGAATCAATCAAGGGACCGGTTTGGTTTGGATACTAAATCAGGAGGGAGTTGAACGGTAGAGAACCGGTCAAACCGGTGTAAACTGGTGAAAACCGGTAATAAACTGGTTTGAATGATTAGGTTGTTATTAGTCCTATCTTTTCTCATGCAGCTCCTAATTTATCAGCCCCTATAGATTTAAATAAATTTTAATGATAATTTTGGTAATAATAATTATTAATTTTAATTAATGATGAATCATAAAGATCAAAATTATCAATATTGTTATACTTTGTGATTATTACAATCAAATTATTGTCATATTTTCTTATATTTTGTTATTAGTGATTGTTAATGTTGCTATACTTTGTTATTTTTAATTATATTATATTATTTTAATATAATGGGTGGGACCCCGAGTTGATCTGGTCCGACTAACTGACTCTTAAACTACTACCTCAACCGGTTTAATATCTGGTCCAGTTTTTTGTTTCTTAGTTTTTAAAGCAAATTTTTAATACACACATATATAACTATTTGAAAATTTGGTTTTTCTTCCACTGTGTTCTGAATTTTTTTAAAAAAAATTATTTTTCCCTTTTTAATCAAAGTTCTGGAATGTCTTTTTAATGGAAGGTTACCTTTTGTTTTACAAAATTAGAAAAATGGCGGAGAATATTCTTTCACTCTTCTCATCACTTTACATATTTTTTCAGAACAATGACTCAGATAAATTATTTTATTTTTTCAAACTTCGTTCTGAAAAATTAATTCATAAAATTATTTTAATAATATAAAAATGGGAAATAGAAGCAAATAAGTTTTAAATTCTACCTTTACTAATGTCAACGTAAATTGGTTCCTTTTGAAATAGATTTTTATTTACCAGAGAAATGATCCCGGGAAAATGGATGACGCGGAAAACTTCTAAGGCCCAAGTAGTTTCTTCTGTCATTGTGAAGATTCCAGGGACAGGGTTCGCAATTCGCACGTTTTTGTTCTAGTAGTTTTTGGGTCCTTAATGGGCCCACAGAACTATAATATAGAGTAAAACATTGACCCATTACTAATAACAGGCTCTTGAGAGACCCGTATTCTCCGATGCCATCTATATGATTTTCGCTGATGCCAATCCCACCTCCTGCCCATCTGGTTTTGAACCATAATGTTGCTTGCACCACCCACCCTCCCTCTCCTTCCATCCTCTCCACTCATCGTCTTCCCTGCCACCATCCACCTCTGCGCATCACCACCGCCGGGGAAGCTGGCCGCCCTCTTCTTCCAAAATTGTGAATAATTACTTGAAGTTTCGTAAACTGATAATTAATAGGAAGAGAATTTGAGGATAAGAAAATACTGTACACTGCATTTAAAAATCTCCAGAGTGCTGGATGGGATTAATTTTGGGCCGAGAAAAAGGGCAGGGGAGGGTGTGGGGGAACAATACATCATTGGGAGTGGCCCACCCAAGGATTCACGTGTCGCCTTCCCTCCCAATCCGCTTCGTCGTTTACCGCCTTCATCATCATCTTTCAATTCTCTTTTGTTTTCTGCTTAGCGTATCATTATGTTTTAGATCTCTTTTTCTGCCCCTTTAATTTCTCCTGATTACCTTTTTTCCTGCTATCTCGGCGGGGAATCATATGCATCTACTAGCAGTACCTAATAATGTTCAATTATTCATCACTCCTTTCATTCAGTATATATTTTCTGGCGTCTCTATGATTTTGCGTTGCCTACCGCCTATCAAGTTTTTGTAAACAACAATCCATCATATGTCCCCCTTTCCATATATTAAAAAAATAAAAAGCATATCAAATTTTAATCTTTTGTTTTTTGTCTTGTCTCGTCAAACTCTTTCTCACTGCCTCACTCATCATTTTCTGCGAACTTGAGGCTTACTTCTTTTATCGGAGAGAATGCATGAATCGGGGATTGGGGCTCTCTGTTACGTTTGCGAGCACATACACGGGCATCAGGCTTCCTTTCTTGTTAATTCCCGATATCTATTTTCTCGTCCTGTGCGGAATATGATCGGCTGAGATATGCCAACAAGTCCCAGTCCAACAAATGATAGCCATTCCTCATCTATTAAGCGACTTCTTTGCTGTGCAATTACGTTGCTCATTGTCTAATTTGTCCGCTTCCTAAGTAACCTGTCTTAATTCTCCAGGAAAGTCCCTTTTATAGTGTGTGCAGTTTTATGGTTGAGAGATGGGTAATAAACAGTTTGCCACTAATCTTGCCACCATTTGCTCTGCAAGCAAACACAATTTCATTTTCCTCGGTGGGAATACGTACGACAACCGAACCATGGATATCCCAAGTCAGAAGATCGTTAGTTCGTTACCAACTCCGAACGATAAATAGCGCCGAGGGTAGCGTCATCAGTCACTCCTCTCCTCCATTTCACTAAAACCAGCGTTTTGAAATACTTCTCTGTTAACACGGACGAATGAATGCTTAAAGATTATAAAGGGTAGTTTAATATAACCCAGAAAAATAAGGGTAGCTTATATGGTAGAATATTATTACGTAAGATGGATTATTTAATAGTTTTCCTGGTTTATATACTTAGTCCTAAGGTAAAAATTTCTATGAACCAGATGACATGTGTGTGTGTGTGTGTGTATACCAGTTAAAAAAAAAAACACAACCACACGTACACTAATTTCATGATAAATAATATCCGCACGCAGCTACATATATACTACTACTTTTAAAACTAATATCTATAAACAAGAACTTGAATGAAGAATTGGCCGCACATAGGAGGAATACAGAGTTTGCACAGCGACCTGAGGACAGTGGCTCCAAATTGAACCCATCGTCAGACAAATTAAAGGGGTTGGCATGAATAAGGTAACAACTGCCAACAAAAACACCGACCACTCCTCCACGTCTTTCCCTCTAATCCATGTTCATCCATTTTCCAGCGGTCAGTGGCATCGCCAACCACT